ACCTGAGCCACATCTGACAGTTGGAGTCAAAGATTGTCATAAAGCGTTTAACTGACATAAATAGGCGATGCTGGGCATCTCACTGAATGGAAACCGCTGACACTTAAAAAAGGTCAGGTTAAAGACATTCTTCTCCTCAACAGCTTTGTCCAGCCGTGGACTTCCACTTCTGGACATAGGCAGAGGCCTATAAGGAGAGCCTTAGAAAGGATGTCTTGGCCTACTTCACCACATTATATTGGGTCGGTATAGGGTTTGTTTCAAGTCTTTCTTCTCTTTACAGTGCTGTTATCCTGCAGAATTTGCTCCCTTAGCCGGCTCTTACGAAACCCCTGTTATGAATAGAGGTGTTGACACTCCGTATTCTTAATCCGTCACCACACAAACAAGTTTGTTTAAATGTTTTATGTACCTAACATTAACATTTTTTAATTTATTGACATAATTTAATATTATAAAGGAAAAATAGCTATATAAACACTTGTGACATTGTTAACGTCAAAAAATGGGGTCACCATGAGTTGAAATAAAATTACCATTGTGAATAACAGTTTCTTAATTGCTCTAAAGTACTTAATTTATATTAATAAATAAAATAACAAAATTTACATAGTATGGAATTGTTTGTTTAGCTGTGGTCATGCCGAAATTCACGTATCCGCCTTAACAGGGTGCAAGGTTAAAATAAATTATTATATCGTTCTAAAATAACTTATTCTGGGTATTGAGAGTTAGAAATGTCTTGAGCGCATTCAATATTAAAAGATTTTGGAAAAATATGTGTTATGCCGACATCGTGCTCTATTAGTTTTATGCATTTAATCGTCTATCAGGTTGTTCAATACCCTCCCCTATAGGAAGCTTACCTATATACTTAAAAACGATATGGATAAACAAGGATACACCAAAAAAATAAAAAGAATAATTCATTTGGTTAATGTATACGAATCCACTATAAAGCAATCTTAAATGTTCTTTCTTTGCAGATATGGAAAATCGTCGTCGAAGCAAAACTCTTGGTCGAAGAAGTTGGATCTACAGATACCCATTAACTTTTCAGATCACTTTTACTACTCTAGGTCTAGGCATATTCTTCTCGAAACCAATCTACGATATATTTTTTCGTCCTCGCGACCCAATTGACTTTTCCGAACCTCCTACAACTTTCGAAAGGCGAGAGGCAGACCAATAATGGAATCAGTCACCAGGGCACGAGAAAGACTTGCTAAATATCCTGTAGTTTTCGCTAAATGTTCTAAACAAAGTCTGTTATACGCACGGTGTGTGCTACTAAAGGAAGGTTCTGTAGCTAAAAACGACTGCGCTACAGAGTTCGAACAGTTCAAGAATTGTCTGACGTTGGCCGCTAAGGAACTAAAAACTAGGATTTAAAAGAACGTCATACAAACTAGGCAAAAATGGAACGAGCCTGGAAGTACATCAACTTGCCTTTTACCCTTCACCTGGTAGTAGGAATTATGATTAGGTCGTTGTTGATAAGCTATGCGCAGATTCATGACAAATATGCGGAGGTGCAATACACTGACGTTGACTATAGAGTCTTTACTGATGCCGCAAGGTACATTGTTAATGGTAGGTCTCCGTATAAGCGCCACACCTATCGTTACAGCCCTATCATCGCATTCCTTTTGACACCAAACGTTATCATCCATCCAGACTTTGGCAAATACATATTTTCTCTATTTGATATTCTGATTGCCATAGCTTGTAAGCACTTGGTAGCAAGTCAATTGAAAAATAAAAAAACAAATGTTCCATCTTACTGTGCTCAGTTATGGCTATACAATCCTATGAGTATAGCAATATCAACGCGCGGAAACGCAGACTCATTACCGTGTTTTTTCATTATAATGAGCTTGTATTTCTTGAGAGCGAGTATAAAAAGTATTACAATAAGATATTCTTTTGCTGGAATATTTCTCGGTATTGCCATACATCTTCGTTTGTACCCTTTAGCCTTCAGCTTTCCCATGTTCCTGAGCTTGGGGTCATACGATACTATAACTTACTCAACAAATGCCTTACATGGGCTTTGGCTGTTACTACCAAACAGGAAGCAGGTCACTTTGGCACTGAGTTGCATAGCTACCGTCGTTGGACTCACTTTCGGTATGTATAGGTTGTATGGCCATGAATTTTTGTTTGAGACATACATTTATCATCTGATTCGAAAAGACACACGCCACAATTTTTCAATACTGTTTTACTACTCGTATTTAACGATGGATGAGATACAACTGGACATTGTTAAACTTGTTGTACAAGTACTTGAAACTCTGTTACTCATATTCCTGAGTTTAACATTCGGTTTGAAACAAGACAGCTTGCCTTTTGCTATGTTCTGTCAAGCCGTTGTGCTGGTGGCATTTAACAGCGTTATGACGTCACAATACTTCATATGGTTTTTGTCTTTGCTACCTTTAGTAGCGCACTGTTTTAAGATGCCCTCGGCGAATGCTGTTTACTTGCCCCTAGCATGGGTTATATGCCAGGCAGCTTGGCTTTTATATGCTTACTTCCTTGAGTTTAGAAATCAAGAGGTATTTTTCTACATTTGGATGAAAAGCGTATTATTCTTTTGTTCGCATATTTATGTGTTATCAGAACTCATTAGAAATTATCGAATGAGCTATGGGTTCGGACTTGTAAACTACTCTAAACCTAGGAAAATTCAATAGGAAATGCTCAAGATACGAAGCGATAAAATCGGCTGTCTTGGTATATGTTAACTGCTTCACGACAGTATTAATGCTCAAAGGAAAAGATGGTTATATACATATTCACATTTTAATTGAAACGCATAATTAATAAAAACAAGGGTGTCTATGGACCCCCGGTCGGCACGAAGTTCCGCAAGAAGTGTCGGCAAAAGTCTTGTTACACATTTTTCGGTCTCACTCCCATCCGCCAAGAGCATCGAACATCGTTCCAAATGAGCCGTCTTGTGCAGAGACGATTCCATCCACAAACTAGTCAAATTAATAAGGTCAAGTCCACAATAAAGACTTCCACACACGAACTGCTTATTATGGAGAATGGCGGTTTGTTATTTATTTAAATCATCAAAGCACTTTATATTACTTTTAAGACGAAATTTAATCGAATAAAATAAAAAAAAAAAAAATAGATAGTAAGTACCGATCATATTAGTTTAGCAGTCCCGTGTGGTGGCGGGTTAAGAAAACGGAGTGTCACCAACTCTATTCATTCCGTGGGTGTCGTAAGAACCGACGAGAGCAAACTAGACAACAGCACTGCAAAGAGTAGGAAAACTTGACACAAACACTATACCAACCCGTCTGACCACCGTGGTATAGTAGGCAAAAACCTCCTTTCCAAGGAGAGGCCTGTATCCAGCAGCGGACTATTAAAGGCTGTTGATGGTGATTAGTTTAGCATCAATACTTCTTTTTTGTGTAGCATGTGGATGAATCATTTACGCACAACACGGTGCATTTACTCCTGGCAATATTTATGCTGTTTCCTTCTATCACTGGCGCACAATAAAGCATACCAGTACCGTATCCTTGTAGGATCTCTGTTTTAACAGTTTTAATAATATAATCATTTTGTTACCCTCGCCTACCCTCATTAGACGTTTATTATATTCTGACAGCCATTTACACATCAGTTATGAACGAAATGTATTATCCTATATGCCATTTTGTATATATCAGTTTATTTGTTTCATCTGACCTAAAGTGTGTACTGACATGATAAATAATATGGTAAATTCATGGACCTGTGTTTATAGTTATTGGAAAATTTTCAAACACAATTGGTTGTTTTTTTTTTAAGTAGTTACCTAGTTGTTTAGGACTCGTCAAGAGGCCGAGATAACATGTATTTGGATTTAGTATATAATATATACATATAGCATGTACTTATATAGTGGACTAGTCTATGAAATTGTATTATGTGAGAACTTTCAAATCCTAGAACATGATTTCTTAGGTGTCTTGACGATAATATTAGTAGTTTTATATGTAATTTATTGATTTAAATAAAAATAAACAATATATTTAAACTGTTTTATTTCTAACAATTAACTAATTTGAACAGTCATTAATGTCCAAAAATTCACCCATTCTAAAATTAAAATATTGCCATGGTTCATCTAAAATTAAGCCTAATATACAAGCAACGGTTGCCAGTTATTGCAACTACACAAGTGTTGACATTGGTAACTGCTCAGTTGGTTACTTAATGGCTAACCAATGGAACAACCACAGACAGAACCGTAGCAACAAAATAACTTTTTCACATTAATATCTAGGATACTTATTATAATGAACCATAATTTAATTGACCAGCCGTTATTATTACTGTACAGATTAGAAGTCAATTTAATATGGGTGTTTTGCTCGTGGAAAAATATACAAAAAAAACTCGTGCAAGACGTCACTTATTGTCATATATTCGATTAGGTAGATTATAAATGCAAGGCAGGATGATCAACATCACCTATCTAAGTTTGACATCTGTTTTTAAATACATTGTAGTTCACAAACTAACCTTCAGAAAATTAAAAAGAAATGATCACATGTTTTCGTCACCGACAGTACCATGAATCAAAATTGTTTATTTATTGGTAACTTAAAAAATAAAATCTGTATTAAAAATATTCAATTTTTTATTGTATTATCTCTTTAAGTAAAACATTAGCATGGCACTGTCAATATCACAAACTAAATGACCATTGAAAAACCTATAATCTGGACTTAGCTCAATTGCTAATAGTCACTTAACTAACATTCAGTAATGCCGGCAGTACTTAATGTTCCCTTTATCAATGTGCTATAATTTAATCAGACAACATTAGTAAACCTATCGAAATTAACTAATGTGGGGACTAAATTTAGTCTTTAGTCCCCACTTTTTATTCTGTAAGTCTGGCTGAGTCCAATGTTATAACATCTAAAGTAACCTAAAATATTAGAAATAATTTATGATTCAATATAAGTAGTATCAGTAGCTATCTATTTCTTGTCAGGCAAGCTGACTTTGGTCAAGTCCTCTGTGTCTCCACCTTGTGACATGTTCGACAACTTCTTTCCTATGCGCTCATGCACATCTAGGTACTTTGCTACACAGCGATCAAGGCAGACTGACTCACCTTTTCCTGAAAAAAAAAATGATAATGTTTTAGTTTATTTCTATTGCACTTTTTATAGTTGAGTGCATTGGTATTGGTATTGGTTGTGGGCTTCGGTTTCCGCATTTAGACTCAAGAGTGGTCCTTTATGTGTCGAGGATTGGTTAGCTAGGTGAGCCAACCAAGCTCCTTCCAGAAGTGCAGAAGCCTTCTGGGGCTTTTACAGGATTCTAGGAGCGATCTCGTCTCAGGAATGATACTTGCCCGTTGTGCGGCCACTCCCTCGCATTCCAGGACATAGTTGAGTGCATGTCACACAATATGAATTGTGTAAGAGTAATAATAAGAGCATCTGTGGCAGTCGTTACGGATAGTTGAGCCCTAAAAATCCGACAACAGCCTATCTGCAGAACTTAGATATCGCCTAGTACTTGGTTTGTGGAGGTGTGATGGCACTCGCTCTGTTCAACTGTGTTGTAATAGACTGAAAGCTCACCCTAACCTAGTTTGGGAAAAGGCTTGAAGGATGTTGTAACAATAATAACCTAACATCAACTGTGATCAAGGCATGCCATCACAGGCCTGATGACAATCATGAACCTGTTGGGTGAATCCTCCCTTGTAAATAGAAAATCACATTTCATTTCTTAACATAATCATTTACATCACTTTGAAATAGTCATGAGTTCAAATCTTCAATCAAAGACATCAGATAAGAAAATCAAACTATGTTAATAAATACACAGTTTAATAGCTGTTGTTATTCTTGCTGGTGAATAGTGGAATTGCTCTATAAAAAGGATAGTGTTGACTGGTGTCAACACTATCCTTTTTATTGACCATTACCAGAAGGAAAATTTTCGAAAATACCATTCATGACAGTCATAAGGTTAGAGTAAATCGTAACTAAAATAAGATGCAAATCTGTGCTGAATTTCCACCTTCAGTAAAATAACACTATTAGCAGCCCCATGCCACAGGATCCCAAAACACCAAATCTTCACAAGAAAATACCACATTCTGACACAAGAAAATGACCGAGATCAATCTGGCATAAACGAAGTCCGAATTTACGCGGATTTGCAAGACTGGCGCCGGAGTTTTCTCACAAGAACTAAACATGAACATATCACTAGCGTTAGACAAACACAGTTCCCTATTCCAATGTGAATGAGTGGAAATAACTAATGCTGCCAAAGCGGCCATGTCAAAGGGTATTAAGGACTACAACATCTGTATACTGTGAGACAGCATGCCGTCCTGAAGGCACTGGAGGGCAACACAAAGACCTTTGGTATTCTCTTCAAATGCCATCAAGCATTGGAGCAGCTTGCCACAACAAATGGGGTACTCCTCCAATGGATTAAAGGGCACATTAATTCACAAGGCAATGACCCTGCAGATGAGTTGGCAGGGAGGGGCTCGGCAACCCCGGCCGCCGGCTCAACCACACTCCTGCTACTGTCTTTTAATCAACTTTGATCCTGGGCTAGACAGCATACTCGTGAAGCGCTCCTAGAAGCCTCTAAACGCCTCAGGAGGCTTTTGTGCTTCTGGAAAGGGCTTGGTTGGCTCACCAAGCCAACCTCTCCTAGACGCATAAAGGACTACTCTCGAGCCTAATGTGGAAATTGGAGCCCACAATCGATACCACTACTTAGAAAAGAAATTAGACATGGATCCATCATAAGCCAAACGGGATGTAGATAACAAATAAGAAGTCATACTAACCAAGTTCAGTCTCATGGTATTTAACAGGTATACACTTGCGGTGGCAGGCAGTGACAAGGCGGTTATACATATCAGACATCATCTCTATTTCTAGCTCCTGCACCAGTTGCAGTTTTGCAGGGTCAAGTTGGGATATAGCACCCATCTTGCTTATTTTCCTTTTATACTAGGTTTAAATATTATATTCTGCAATATAAAGTGATCTTTTAATACTGTTGTATATGTTTATTGTAAACTAGCTGTAACCTAAGGGCAGGTTTGCTGTGGCACATTGTGGTTGCATTGATGAGAAATGAGCAACAAAACAACTGTTGAGCAGGTTGACTATTGTGTCAAAATTTGAACTTAATCAGTGCAGAGCTTTTTGAGTTTTTTTAGCATACACCAACATTTTAATATATTATATGGACGTTAAAAAGTACTAATCAAATTTTCATATGTCACTCATTAAATATAACAAATATTACAATAATTAATTTGTTTAAATTGTCTCATGTAGAGTTGTTGTGAACAAATCTGAGACAAATTGAGGAACATGCAAGACTCAACTAGATTTAAATGGTTACCTGGGCACAAGTTCAATGTTTCTGTCTGTAAAGATCAGGATATTCCCCTTGGTTAGACTTGCGCATGCGTTCCCTGGCTCTCATATTCTCCAACCGGTTATAGTTAACATAATCTTTTGCCACCACAAACAATGATAAACTTGTCACAGTGACTGCCAACCTAGAACAGGTTAAAGATGCACCACAGACACTAAAAAAATATATTTTAGTTCTTAATTAAGAACTGTTTCTTATGATTTGAATAAAATATTGTAAGGTAAAAAAATATTATTCTCAAAGCTGTCAAACTCTCAGTATTCGTCAGTCTATATATACTCTTGAGGTTAGAAAATTAGTTATCAATAATTGCCTATAATTAAGTACATCATAAGAAGGTTAGAAAAATGATTAGAAACATCAAAAGTTTATTACTAACAAACGCCACTATTATGTGATATGACAGCAAAACAAAACTGATTATTTTATTCATAGATTTATTTGTCATCGCCAATCATAATATTGCTATATTTCCAATAAATTCTACACTAATTATTATAATGCTATAATGGAGGGCTCACCACAATTAAACGATATAATTTAAACAGGCAATTGGTATATTATTGATGTAATTACCACGAAAGTGTAATTTTTCCAAATCTTCCAAGCGGCATACTACTTTTTCACAGAACTATGAATCGGGATACGACGAGCAATGTTGTTTTGAGGTTAAGATTTTAGTTTCGGATTTCGACACGTTACGTCATAGTCGTAGTCGGTCATTGGAGGAAATCGTAACTTATATAATCCAATTTTTTATAGCAACCCCAGTAAGAAATAGTTTACAACTGGCTCAATCTTTTTATAATTTTTGATCAAAACTAAATTGCATTATTAATTCCAAAACTATCCATTCCACATATTCAATTTTCAGGTTTGTGCATATTTAAACTGTTAAAAATAAAGGAATATTAAGTTAATATAATATAAAGTATTAAATATTAAGCCTTGGTGTTTCATTACACTACTACAATTATACTACTTATATACAACGGCGGACTTACTGCCCAGGGCATTCTCTTCTAGTCAACCTATGGATGGTGTAGCAATCGTGTGAGGTAGCCTCACATAGAGTGCATTACTAATCAACTAAAATAAAATACTACATAACACTATATCCCTAAAATTATATAAAATTAACATAAATATATATACACGATGTTATGCACTATATACACATATATTATTTAATAAGAGTATGGAAAACTCGGGGCTCGGGGCAATCTATATCGTTTTTTTAGAAGGAGTAAATACTCGGGTATTTCACGTCGGTCAGAGAGCGGTAATATGTGAAACTGTCTTCGAAGTTGAAGATAATTATTAGAGTGATACGGAGGCTTTAGATGGTAACAAGGGTATTTGATAAAACGTTTTTGTATATTTTCCAAACGGTTGATATATACCTGGTAGCGTGGGCTCCATATAAGGGAGCATATTCAAGGTGGCTTCTGACAAACGTGCAGAATACAATTATGAGAGTCTTAGCTTCAGTAGAAGAAAGGCGCATGATCCATCCTAGTGCAGACACGTCATTATACTTGCGAAGGTATAACAGGTTGTACAGAAAATAATTTCGATGTTTCACATCTGAAAGGCGTTTTTCTAATTATGAATTGAGATTAAGTACACCACATTGTTTCACATCACTGCCAAAAGAAGGAAAACTTATCGTAAACCCTATACTAACCCTTCTGGCCAGCGTAGTAGAGTAGGCCAAATCTCTTTTCTAAGGAAAGGCTAAGGCTATTAAAGGCTGTTGATGTGATATGATGATGTGACACCACATTATTCAATATGAAAATATTGCCACTCAGTCGCATAGTAGTTAGATTAGTGTTATCAAAAAAACATTTGAACATTTGAAAACCTTACAGATTCATGGTTTACTTTACAAGAATGAATACAAAACTGTTACGAATATTCTCTGACTAAAATGTCTAGTCATTACACCTTCAGGTTGTGAGGCCAGAGACAATTCATTCCCACACTACGTGTCATGGTTACTTAGGTTACTGGACGAAAAGAAGCACAACCAAAAAAAAGATCTTTTAACGTCAAAAGATCAAAACAAAACAAAACGTGGTTTGCTGCTGTAAAATTTATTTATCGTGAATTTTATCAAAGATATGCCGAAACCAACTAAATTACATTCCAAGGGAAAATCCACTTCAATACAAAAGCCATTTAAGGTGGAGAAAGACAGTGGAGATGGCATAGATCCAGAAGAATCGCTAAGACAATTTCAACTTGAATTGTGTTGGTGTATTCAACAATTGGAACGGTCTTTAAATGAGAAAAAAGGCACCGAAAAACAATGTATGTTGTGTTTAAGTTTCATAAGATTTTTATGTTTTAAATTTCAGCCCTAGCTCATACTAAACTTCGCAAGTCTCATTTTAGATATTTCATAAGACGGTGAAATAAAATAGAAGCAATCAAAGCATTTCTCACTTTTTGGATCATGAGGGTCTTGGCAACGAATGGTCTAAAAACGTGTTTAAGTCTATCATTACTAGTTTCAATTCTATTTATAGAATTATATTATCATATCAGCAGACTAATAATTTTACCTAAGACCCCTAATTATTTGACTTTATTCTTGTAAGAATAATATTAAGGTAATATTATTAAGGTATAATAAAATAAAAATGCAATGGCAGGTAGATAGAGTTAAAATAGTACCCATTTTCATATCTACAACTGGTGTAGTACCGAAGACTCTTCAAGATAGCCTCAACACATTGGAAATGCCGAAATCCTCTCTCATACTCTTACAAAAAGCAGTCCTTCTTAAAACATGCCGTCTCACACGCAAATTTCTCGCTTCATCCTCATCATCTTAACTTCATATCATCATCCCTTTTTGGCACACTTGGCTAAGGTCCGTGTGTTAGATTTTTGTTACCCCTTTAAAATAAAAGGGAGACCAGACAAGGTCTAAAATGACATAATAATAGAAAATTATTAAGGTATAGATATTTAAATATATTATCCAATAAATATTTTTTATTAATTAATTAATTACAGGTATTCATTGCATTACATATAAAAGTTCATAATTCTGCCACTCATAGTAAATATTAGTGCATATATAGAGTTACTTACAGAGGCCATATCAATAAAAGACACACTTAAAATTATTTGTTTATTCTTGTAGAGGGATGGCATGTCAGGAGTTAATCCTATAATAAAAGATAAAAGGTTATGAATTAACAAACCTGTATTGTAGGTTACAACACAAAAGAACCGGTATTATTACTTCTAAATTTGACATTTGCATGTATCAATTTGGTCCCTGAGATTAACAGGCTAGAGGCAGAGCCTATACTATGGTAAGCAAACTGCTTATAAACATACTTAAATATTTCTGATTCTTAGAAGGAATGCCAACAGCATAAGTGTAATACTGTTATAGCATTAATAACCGTATTACACTTATGCTGTTGGCATTCTCCTGTAGAGCTGAGTGGCAGATATTTAAAAGAAATTAGATGACAAATTAAATTAATGTTTTACAAAAAATTACTCTACAGTCTTCCTAGACATCTTCATAAAAGCTATGCTGTGCAATTTTAGACACAGTGTTGCACTCTGTGTGGGTTTGATTGGTTTAGAAAACTTTGTTCCACCAAAAACTGGTTGGTGAGCACTCAAGGGTGTTTACTCACATAAAGAAGAAAGATAAATCTTTGTTATGGCAATCCTTTTTTTGGTGAGGGGGTGGAAAATCCCTTTGGATTCGGTTCTTTGAGGTTGCAGAAGCCAGGAGTATCTAGTGTTTTCACAAAAAACCACCTACTAGTCAAATACTTACCAAATCTATATTTTGACATCCCCGGTAGAGCAAAACTAAATTTAGATATACATCATCATTTAAGTTTTAATGGGGTGTAGTTAAGATAGATTATATTCCAATTGGTAACGTAGGTATTGCCCGATTGAGATATAGTAAATAACACTGAGCCCACTTAATTACAAAAATTTTGTCCAAACCAAATGGCGGACAAGGAACAACTGCTTGTTCCCATTTGCAACACTATGTACTTCCATTAATGTAAATGTTAGAAAGTTAGTCCCATAACCAGTTACAAAGAAGATAGACAACGAAAAGCATACTTCCTAATGAACCTTTCAACCAGAACTCACTCAGTTGCTCAATGATTTGCAATCTGTAAAACGAGTTTTGTAAAGAATTCAGTTAAAAAGGAATAAGACTTCAAGACTAATAGAATAAAACTCCATATTGATGTGAAACTGTCACAAAATGATTGCTCTACCTTTAGTGAACCAGTTTTTATTCACTAATGATTATTTGTCTACACTACGCCATATAACACGTTAACACTGCAGATATAAATCAGAAAATGACGCCTCACGTGCAAACATGTTTCGCAGAAATTTGATAAGATAGGCATAGGTAATGAATAAAATAAGAAAAAGAAAAAATAAACAGCCCCTTATCATTTTTTTATGTATTTTTTACGTGAACCACATTTGGTACACTCGTGTGCACTCTATAGATTTAAAGATCTTTATTACAAAACACGACTTTAAAATTACTAAAGAGCGCACAGATAAAATCGTGATGCTCCGCTCATAGCAAGTGCTGTTGATTAGTCATTTTTGGTTTTTATCTTTCCCTTTTATAATTTATTTAAACTATTTCCTATTAAAATTTTGTTTTCACTTTAAACCTCAATTGCCCAGCAACACTTATGAAAAATCGGTCCGTTTTTTTAGGCATTCCACTGTATGTTATATTAATCATACGGACATGTGCAAACTTAAAAAAGCATCCAATTTAGATAGACTCTTAGCCCATTTGTGGTGCACGCACGTGTGATGATGTCTTCATGGTGACCCACATGTGGTACATGCACTGTTAACGTGTTAAGGGAAAATGTAACAATTCAATTTTAATGTCCAGTGCAAGAAGCATGGAAGGTGCTAACAGTGTTAAAAAACAACAACCAGCCAATGATTAGGAAGAGACAACTTATGAGAACACATTTTGGTGACTATAGAGCTAAGATGGCTGCTGAAGAGAAGAAATTGGCCAAAAGTAAGATCATGTATGGACCACCTTTTTTTTATAATTTTATCTGAATTGTTCAATTTATGTGCAAAGGAAACAGTACAGTTAGTGAACTTCCATCTCTAGGATTTTGACAGTTGACATAGTGAAAATTACTGCAATTTAATATGTATTAGCATATTTATTAGATAATGAGTAAAATATATGGAAATTCTTAATTTTGCTTAAATGAGAAAAGATTTGAAAGGTGTCTTAATTTTTTTTTCTAATTAAATGTTTGAGGATTAACATTCTCCCTTGTACATGTACCTTTTATGTATGTAAGCTTTTTCTCCTAACTACTTTTATTTGACCTTGATTGAATTATTGCCAAAAACGTGAGTGAATATGATGAGTTTGCTCCCTGAACTTGACAGTTTTGACTGTCTATTTTGCCACCTTCAAGTCCTCCTCCACTTCTACTTGTTTATCTTTACACCAAACTACATCAAATTCATTTAGGTAAAAGGATTCTTATTTTATTTCTTTATTTTATGAAACCATCCTTTTCTGTATTTCATATAAATTAAAATTGACTAAAAAGCTTTATAAAAAAATGTTATTGTAAGTTTTATGCAAAGCCAATACTAATTTCTTTCTTTTGTTCTACAGTGGCCAGCAAGATAAAAATATCTGATGTGCCCGATAAACCAAAAGCAACATTCTTGAGAAAGTCTGCATTTTTGACAACTGGCGATGAGTCTTTTAGGTTTAATTTCCACATAGCACCTGAACAGGCCGGTGCCAGCAGTAGTATCATACCAGATGTTACAACTGAAACAAGTCAAAATAATAGCAACACCAAGAAAGAAGTTGTGATCAGCAATGAGAAAATTGGTGAAGAGAATGTTAAATCATTTAAATTTTCCTTTTCAAACACAGATTTCAAATTTAATTTTAATGTAGATAAATAGGAGTAAATAAATATAATTTTTTAATATAATTTTTTAAAAATTTTGTATAATTAGATAATATAAGTATAATTCTTTCTAAATGATCTTTCTTATTTCTATATTTCCTTAACTCTGTAGGGCTGTGTTTTGGACAATTACATTCTGTTGAGGGTAGTCAATTCGCCTGCAATTTTTTAAAAGATGACAACATGCTATACATAATTTATTAATCGCGCTAAAGTATTCTATACTCTTGCATTTTTATTTTCTTAATCAAAACTTTTCGAGCGAGACCGTAATCTATAAATCATCATCATCATCATCATCAGCCTTTAATAGTCCACTGCTGGACATAAGCCTCTCCTTAGAAAGGAGGTTTTGGCCTACTATGCCACGCTGGCCAGACGGGTTGGTATAGGGTTTGTGTCAAGTTTTCCTTCTCTCTGCAGTGCTGGTGTTCTGCGTAGTTTTTTCCCTTTGTCGGCTCTTACGACACCCACGGGATGAATAGGGGTGGTGACACTCTGTATTCTTAATCCGTCACCACACGGACATAAATAAATAGTTGTACCTAATTTATATGTCCTCATGATGCCTCCATGCCTTATTGAGTCCCATAATTATTAGTGTTTTCGTATTGCAATAGAAATTGGTTTTTACTCGTATATTATACAAACCTGTATAGAACAAATCGGTTCGTTGAAAAGAATTGCGAAATTAAGTAGGTGATAACTAAATAACTAAACAGTTTTTAATAAAAAAAGTTTATTGATTATATTAAAATAGTGTTTACTACGTACATAGTATTGTAGGTAATGTGGAAATAAAGATAAAAAAATATTATTTAAGTAAATAGTAGTAGAAACTTATTTCGCCTCACAAATGCTCTGATAATACCCCTTTGTGACCAACAATCCATTATCGTTGCGTATTCTTTTTGCGCAACTAAAATCCTTGTAAAAGTGATCTGAATTAGCAAACGCGAATCCAACAGGTAACTCGTGTTGCGGGTAATAAGTACCCCACGTGGCAACACCCATTAGTTTATTGGTTATGGTATCAAAGATGGCGCCACCTTCGACGCCGTGGTAGCTATCACATATTGCATTGTTTCTCAACATCTGGCCGAAGGTACAGGAATGGTAGCAAGGTACTGTGTATCCCATGGAGCCGTTTACAGAGTTTGATAAAACACTTGCGCATATGTCCAAACCAATGACCACGCCTAGTTCTGTCAGATTGTAGTGCTGCTCTGGTGTTAATATGAGATTCTGTTGAAGAATATTAATACTAGAGATTAGGTAGAAAATCCTCATGAAATCTACAAATATGATCGAAGTCGATAATTTGGATTTGAGTATCAATAGCACGATAGTCTATCGCTTACGCAAAGACAAATACCTACTGGAAAGTCTGACTCCTGTAATTAAAGTATCGCCACTCGCCAGTGAGGCCAAACCCCAGTTTGTACACCTAATCCCCTAATCCTTTGTATGTAACCCTAATCTCCAATGGGGCTCTGCAATTTGCACTATACCACCACGTAATTGCTGTACTACCGCTGTTTTCTTCATTTCGAATATATAAGATACGATCTTATAATTCTCTTGTATAATTTCTGTACAACATATTAACTTGTATAAATGTATAAACACTTTCTTTCCCTTCGAGATAAGCAAAGAAAAAAGCCCGACATTTGCGAGACTCATAACTTTCCTCTACCTCTACTTCTGCTCTTAGTTCTTGAGAACATATCAATTTGATCTGCGTAGTCGACCCCTACTAGTCTACTAGTCGACCCTGAGTATAACGAAGTACATACAGTGAGTAAACTCCTTACCAAACTCATACAAACTTTTAATAAATCGTCAAAACTGCGACGTACTAGAGTAGAACACTGAAAATAAGTTGGTCCTACTGGCAGCCCTGTTGTGAGATGTTACGACGTCTCAGTAATTTCAGTTGTAAAAAAAAAAACACAATTGTCGTCTTAGTTATACCTCAAGTTGGAATACCTTAATAGTTTAAATTAATTTACAAGAATACTAACCTTCTTCGTAGAGTATCCCAGGACTTTAGTGTTAACACTCCCAAATAAATAGTCCAAATTGCCGAACCAGGTAAACGCATCATCCGTCCTGTTCACGTTGGTAAAGAGTTCAATCACTGACCAGGTTCCTATCACGTTTTTTCTCTTAACTACTATCAAGCCTATGTCATCAAAGGCTTGTTTACTTGGTTCTGAGGGTAAGACAAACGCCAAAGCACGCAGACGTTTCGATCTGTATATTATTGTAGTATAGTTGACCTTCAAACTGAAATTAAATGGGGTTGAATGGAATTACAAATTAGTGAGATAAACTGATTGCAACGGTGAACTTAAATCATTTAAATATATAATCATGATCATTTATCCAAAAATGGTCGAGTAACCGAATTTCCCGACGAACGATGATGATGTGTCCTTGCCGTGATATTTGTTTCCTGCCACATGTAAAGGTTACCCGTCCTGTAGATCTTTAGAAAGAGAGTCGTTCCGTGGATCTACTGGGCGGTTGATGGTGTGTGCTGAATGGCCGGTTAAATGTGCTGATGGTAGAAAGTTATGCCGAGAATAAATAATCTGCTTGTACTTTGCGTTGTATCATCTTCAAAGCAAGACGATATAGTTGTCGAGCAAATAAGCTTTTCCATATCCATATGTGATCGTCTATCGTTTGAAATCCATAACTAATCTGTGGATATCAAACATATCTTTTTTTTTATGTTAGAGGGGGCAGACGAGCAGACGGATCACCTAGTGGAAAGTGATTGCCGCCCATGAACGTCTGCAACTCAGGAGTCACAAATTACCAACTTAATCTTAGGTTTATAGTTTACATCACGCTGGGAGCTGCTTTAACTTTGCAATTTGTAGTCTCTTTAGTGGCTCCTTACGTCCTCATTACGGGCGTAGCCATGGTGGAGGCATGATGAGGCGCTTGCCCCACCCAAAAGTAATTCAATAGATACGACTGTACCCAGTGTAGTACTGTGGTACCTACTGGATTAAAAAAAATAAAGTTTTAAATAGATTTAATCAAAATCCTCACAGGCTCTTGACAAAATAAATACTTCAGTTATTTTCTTCCTTGATATTATTATGTGGAGTATTCTTACCCTGCTTTTGGCTGATATAATGACTGATGAAGTATTTAAAGTAAAAATATAAAGCTACCTACACGAAGAGACATCTCGCTGCAGTTATGAATATGGCTGCGTCGATGCATGACGCTGTACAAACATGCGGCACGTCTCTGGTAGTGGAGTGTACGACGCGGGCTATCCAAGGGTACGTTGTTTCGTTTGCCGGCTTCGCGTTCACTGCATAATTTTGGAGCGAGGAAAAGACTGAAATATCATGTTATGATCTGTTCACACGTATTTAATGGTCTTAACCACCACCTCGTGAAAAGCTATTTCAAGAAATCGGGTGACAAACTCCTTTTCTTGTATTTTCAACCCTTATACCTATCCCGAAGTAGAGATTAGCTTACAGAAAGAAGGCAGTGATCAACTTGGAGTATTGGTGTGTAGCTGTTCATCTTCTGCATAAGGAGGTCTCCGTCGTTTAACTAAATCTAGCAACCTCTTTTTAACACCTATCCCTTTATATATTACGGGAGATATTAAAACAAATACGCAGCCCACCTGATCGTAAGAGGCTTAAAAAGATTGGTGCTTATAGGCAAACATGATCGGTAACCACGAAGCGGAGAGTTAGCGAGCTCGGCAATTTAAAAAGAAATGGTAACGAGTTTAGAAAGGCATGCTCATTTTCTTCCACGTTCGGACATCTCGCAGACCCGTCTCGCCACCAGGGTTTTCCGGGGTGTGACGGTGTTGGAATTGACCTTGTTAAAATTGGGTGAGAGGGTATCGGGTATGCATTTTAGGGCATCCAGCGATCTTCCTTCGAATATCCCTTTTGTAAACTATCTAGGTAAGCGACATCCAGGCAATACTCACAAGTCTCAGTTAAGTTCAACGTTCTGACATTTCTCAGGGAACCCTTGTTACGTGAATAGTGTGGTGCCATTCTATGATATGCTCCAACGAGACCAACATAAACACAGCTCAATACTAACACGTACATTCCCGCTCGCAATAAAACCATGGGCACTTAATGTGTTTTATCAGTTTATTTATAATATATAGATTTATACAATCTATATAAACTACACAGTCGTAGTACACTTATATTACAAAACAGTGAAATGAAAAATATAATTTTATTATACAGTTATTTACAGTATACCATGAAGACGGAAAATTTGTATTTTCGAAAACGAAATTGACGCCATGAGGTGAATTTATGCTGCCTGAGGACCCGTATTCCTGTTCTTTGGGTGTCTTTGCCCTACGAAGTAGAGATCCCTGGCGGTTGATGTTTGATCGTATTATTTCATTTCCAATATAACTTGACCTCTCATTGCATAGACCTTCGTGCCATGGTGAATATGTATGAATAGTGAAGGGTGGTGGGAGGGGTGGGGAGGCGTTGAGCTCCCATGGTTACTATAAGATTTGTAAGCTGACTCGATTTCAAAATAAGAAAGTAGTTTTATTTCAGGTATATACGATACAAAGAACATTGTATATAAGTTATGATTTTATTGTTTTTGAAACAGTAAAAGGTTTTCTCTGGCACACCTTAGTAGGAATGTTACATATAGAATAATATATTTTTGTAATACAAGAATAAACTCATTAATTTAACACAAGAGAACAAAAAGTAGTCCTTATATTAATAAGTTTAAAATTTAAATTAAGGCTAAATAAGCATTAGTAGCAGAAGATTTGGGAGATAAGGGGTCTTGAACCATTTCTTAGTGATTTATAAAAACCCTACTTAATACATAGGTACTTCAGTAAAAAAATTACCCTCTTATATATACTGCACCACTTTCAAATTTTAATTTCGCGATTAGTTGTCATGTTCCTCTTCCAGGTTCCCTCTATCCCTATATCAAAATTCATAAAAACTGGTTTAGCAATTTAGTAATGAAAACATAAAAAACAGAATTACTTTCGCTATTATAATATTAGTACAGAGTATAGATATAACATCGAGTTTGTATGATGACTTATGGTCCAATACACTTTTGCCCTATAAGTGCTACAATACTTACTTACAGTATAAATGTGTGCAGTTATATTCTATAAACATCCCTAAGTACAGTAGTATAGCACTGTTACTGTCACAATATTTTTAACACAATATTTATTTATACAATGGTTAAGCTTACCTACCATATCTACTGCTACAATACAAATAATATACCCAAACTAAACAATTTCATATTTATCAGGATGGAAGCTGATCTCCAGCGAGTAGTCCACTGGTGTGGGCTCCTCGGCTAGCGTGACCTTGGTGGCAGTCAATAGCGCTAGGGACGTTTCCGACGTCCACATCACCGTTAGAGGGAAGAAGTCGTTTGGTATCGCTGGAGTAACCCTAGTTAAAGAGAAAAAACCAGTCAGATAAAATAACGATTATAGATATTCCATTACAGAACTTCATTCTAGGAACGAAAATTTGTTCAAAATTAAGTACCCTCGATCTCATAAATGCTATTCTCGTAGTTAAGTATTACTAAGAGTAGCAGAATACCGATTCAACTTTTGGACACAATACAATATAATCACATTACAGTCAACGTGGACGTTTAATAAAAATGATAAGTAATTGTGTGTTCTTGTTTGGGTGGCCCCATTTGGGCCTTTCGTATCCCATATATTTAAAATAAAACTGAATTTTGAACAATTTTTTATTACGAGATTTGACCGTTGGTCCCTTGGTCAAAAAATAATAATCTATAAAAAAATATAATTCAATTTTAGATATATACATATACATATATATATTTTAAAGACAACTCCCGCATTAGGAATATATCCTGTGTCGCGGGGGATTTTACAAACATACATGAAACGGACACAAAGAACACCCAGACTCAGAACAACAATTTGTAGATTACACAAAGTGTCGTTCCATGTGGGGTTTGAACCTACAACACTCGGCGTAGTAGAAAGCGGCGTGGTGATCGCTTAAACTACTACGCCAATCGTGAAGACGCACTATATATTATTAATGTTAATTGTCCTGTGGGTGCACGGAGTTGATGTGGCCATAAACAACTACAAGAAACGGGAGAGGAACGAGAGAGCGTTGAACGATCTCCCACCCACGATGGGTGAGGCTGCACGATGGGTGTTTCGATGCTTTGGTACAGATTTGTTTTACAACGTTTATTGGAATTTCATATTTCAATAAACGTAGCATTCAAACCAGCCAACTACTATTGGAAGGCAACTTCAAACAAGCGAAACCAGCGTATTCTTAACATAGCCAATAAAAGATTTAACTTCATTATATTCCTCTATTTATACCTATAGTCTCTCAACTCAACATCGGCATTGAAATGCGGCAGTATTAAGAGAGTAATACCAAAGGTCGCTTATTCCTCAAATGTCGAACTCCCTTGGCGCCTTGGGCATCTTTGAAGAATAATATCTCTGGTATGTGGAAGTTCCTTAACACGTTGGGCACTGGGAGACATTTCATACCATTGGTATAATTGTCGGTAAACATCTTGTACATTGGGCGACGTAGTGGGGGAAATGCGCATGTACACTTACGAGCAAAAAAAATTGTACCCAAATATATTTATTAATGTAATTATACAACTCTCTTTTTTGTATGTATTATATTTTGACTGCGTAAAAAAACATAGACATTTAATTACTTTATTTAATGTTTAAAATAAAATAGTAGATATTAAATAATGTAAAAATAAAAATTTGTTGTTAAAAATGACGATGAACTATTTTTTAGACTGCTATGTAGAAGAAAATCGCCTTTGGTTTGATAAATACATTTTTTTGATCTTAGAATTTACTCTGGATTTAAGCAAGATATTGCTTCGATTAACTCCAAACCAGCAAAAGACAAACTGGTGCTAGGCATAGGTTCAGTGTGTTGTTCGTGACATACTGTATATATTTCATAAACAACAAATTTTAAGACAAATAAAAACTCAGCAAAAATAACAAAGGAATCAATGCACTGGAGTGTAGTCGGAAGTCAACGGGCCGCAGACGCAGCGAGAGAGGCGAGGGTCGACTAATCTACCAATGGTACGATCGAAACGGTTCCCGCCGTCGCGCCCCGCACCGCAAAACCAAGACACCTAAAATTGTTTCTGCTACTCAACCGGAGCATTAAACATAGAGTCGGACCCTGAACTATATCGTTATGCCCAGACCCAATATTGTCAACTTTGAATTTTCTCCTCTGCCTTCTGGAGACACCAAAAAGATCCTGTCTGTCTGTTGTAACGCAATGATTTACAAACCATAGGATGACAGTTACCATCCTGGATGACGTCCTCGAAGTTATAGCTCCACATTATTGACTTCTTTCTCGACTCCGAAACCTTTTCCTCTCTGGCACAAAGCCTACATCATCCCATGCCTAACATTATTAATCCTTCTCTTCCTGATATTTCTATCAAATTTCCATCCTTCCTTTCCTATCAAACGTTCTTGAGGTTTTGGGTACACAAACAGTTCTCATATTACATCTTTCAACAGCATTTCCTAAGTCCTCCACAATCTTACCACTACTACTATACCTCTAAAAAAACACTAGCCACTAAAAGCAAAATTTCGCCACTAGAAGGGATGTCGAAACCACCAGTTTAAGTGGACAATCCACTAGGTTGGCAACACACAGCAACCAAGGTGTACAGAACGACTTCTTTAATAGGTTATCTTAAAAACAGTATGGCAACACTTACGTGAATTCGAGGCTGCCCGACTTGTTCATTTTGTTAATGATGGGCACACTCCAGATGAGCATGCGGCCCTTCTGTGTATAGCTCCCTTCCCACTGATGGACCACCACGGAACTATTGCCTGAACTGTGGGTATAGAGTTCACCGTTAAGTACCATAAGCCACAAATAACATCAAATATACTTCTTAATTTCGATTATAATTAATAAAATAATTATTATAATGTATGGAAGGGACGCTCAATACTCTTTAGTTGAGTAAATTTTAAAATAATAATACGATTTTGTAACAGCACATGGCTTGTTAATTATTGTGTTAATAATTTTTGCTAGATATAAAAATATTTTTCTTAGTAATTTTATAAAATAAACACAATACTAATTTAACTATATATACTAGGTACTAAAGTTAAATATTGATTATATTTATATCCACATTATAAAGTTGAAAAGTCTGATTAGTTGAACGCACTAATCTCAGGAATTACTGGGTCCAATTGAAAGTCTTTTAGTGTTGGATAGCCAAGGCTATAGATAGGCTATATAATATCACGCTACGACCAATAGGAGTCGAGCATCAATGAAAAATGTTGTAAAACCGTGGAAAATGTATACCTTTTGAGAGACGCAAACGAACGTCAACTAGTCTATACAAATAAATAAAATTGGAGTGTCTGTTTGTAATATTAAAATAACCGCGTTTTACTAAATGCATATGTATGTTTACACGGTACATATGCCAAAATAACATTTTTTACAATTTTTGTCTGTCTGTCTGTCTGTCGGTCTGTCTGTCTGTTTGTACCGGGTAATCTCTGGAACGGCTGGACCGATTTCGATAATTTTTTATACTAGCTTCGCCCCGTGGCGTTGCCCGCGGTTATAACAACAAACGCGGGTAACACCGCGGGTCTCAGCTAGTAAATAATAAGTGTGACTTACGGTAGAGGTATGTGTATGTTGACGTCATTGAGCACGAGGTGGTCCCGCTCGAGCTCGTACTCGATGTTGACGTCGCACGAGCCGCCCGCGCCCTCTGACGGCCAGCAGTTCACTGCACAGGGGCAACATTACCTTCTCTCACTATATCAGTATCACCTATCTCTACATGCATTTCAGGTTTTTTAAATTAATATATGGTATCGCCTGTACCCACGGCCAGCGCAACTTGGTCGAAACGTCAAGCAAATTAAGAGCCTGTACTATGGTAATCAGACTGCTGATAAACATACTTATATAGTTCTAAATGCATACATATTATAGATAAATTACACCCAGACACAGAACAAACGATCATGCTCATCACACAAATATTTGTTCTGGGTGGGAATCGAACCCACGACCTCCGGTTAGCAGTCAGGGTCACTAACCACTAGACCAACAGGCCCGTCAACTAATGGGACACCATTATCTTAATTTTTATAGAAGATTACAACAGTTACTTATAAAATATAAGGTCAAAACCTTAGACATTTGATTTACCCACTTATCATACACCCACTCAATGCCGCGATTGGAAGGGTGCCAGTGGTGCTTAGGGACAGGGTACGAATAATGAGGGGTTGCAGAAATAACCAAACCGACGAAGAACAGACGTGAAAAATCGGGCAGTATTTTTTTTTTTTGACATTTGACACACAGCGCCATCTAGTTTCAAACTAAGCAGACCTTGTACTATGAAAGCTAGCTAGATTACTTTTTGTAAATATCGAACCCGAGACATCAGCACAGCAGTCGCATACGCTACCACTGCACCACCGAGAAAGCTTAAAACCTTAGTTAGAATTCTATCACACAGAAGTATTTGTAAAAGGAGGGCTCTACATTAGACTTGTAAGTAATAAGTATTACAACATGAGTGTTGAGTGAAAGGGAGAGAGGGGACTCTAGCTCACTTTAGACTTATCCACTCACCTGAGAGTGGTGCAACCTTGTCGTCGTTGGCGTTGAGTCTCCACTTCAGCACACCCACGTCACTGTTTAGCGGGAAGGCTCGCTGACTTTGCTTCAGACCGATCACGCCGTTGCATCTGAATGCTTCCTTGTCTACGTTGGGATGAGTCTGGACAAAAATGTAAAGGAGATTGACAAAAGCCGTTTCACTTTAAAGTGCAATAAATAAATACACAATACATCAAATATTTTTTCAATTTTTCTTATTGCACCTAAACTAAATTATATATGGGGTAATATTTTGTATTTTTATTAGATATGTTGTCGTTTATTTGCCCATTTAGATGATATACGTGGCATATCATAATCAGTGTTCCCATTTAAAGAACTTCCCCATAAACAGTTATGCATATTCTATGCAGTTCCCCATATTCGTTTTTTTATTATTTTGTATTAATGCAAATTATTATTCTAACTAGCACATTTTGTTATGATATTGGATATATAATAATTAAGATAGAAAGATGGACACATTGGACACTCTCGTTTGAAATTTTAGTTAGAGTAAAAAAAAAAAAGTATATATGTATGTGTATTTGAGTATGTATATCTATCAGACTGTTTCCGTCTATATCCTTAATTATTACTATCTCGTTACACATTTAAAACTTAATTTCTAGTGCACCTACTCAGACATTTCCCCACCACCCAAAAGTAGACTGGGAGAAAATGCCTGTGGCGTTAAGTCCACCATTGTACAATGAATTGTTGTTTGAGCAAAAAGAATAAAAAAAAAGAAAGTATGCGAGTATTAAGAGTATGCTGTGTACAAATTGCAAGCATCTACATCCCTAAAGGTATGTAATAGACACAATTATAAATAGTTAAAGAAGTCTTTATTTCCTTATAAGTTTATTTTAAACTTTAAATGAAAGAAAACCAAAAAAAAAATTGCCATTAGTCCTTTTATACATTGAGTTGTTACTTCAAACTTAACCCTGATTCCTTTATAATTTAACTAATCATATTCATAAAAAGAACAAGATAATTAAAAATGATTAACAATACAATTATAAATTGGAAGTAAAAGATGATCAATATTAAGAAAGAAAAAAAAATTATGAAAAAGGGCCATTAAATTAAGAACAGTATTTATTTCGCGCCATTTTGTTCCTTTGAGTATTGAAGTGTTGCTATGAAGTGTAGAAAAGGAAAACTCCCTAAATATTTTCTTAAAGTATAATCATAGAGTAACATATTCTAATTTTTCTGTTACATTAAGTATGCGAGTTATATTCACCTGTAGCTGCAGTGGCCTGGAGTCTTTATTGTCGACATGCACATGTATGCGTCCGTACTGCTCATTGCTGATGCGGAGGGTCAACAAACCTAACAACAAACCGCATTAACTTTGTATATATTTAACACAAAGTTTTTCAACTGATTCCTTTTTTTGTTTGAATGAAGAACTCTATTTTTTAATTTTTTTTAAAATTTAAAATTGCAGAAAAGAAATCAAGCTCTCGTTAAAATATATTTTTATTGCATAATCATAAAATAATTGCATTTTCTTTTGGCGACTAATAGCTTAGAATAGGACGTCCTTCAAGGACGGAAAGCTTTCTGCTTTTAATTCAGGAGTTGAATAAAATAAACACAAAATTAATTTGTAAGTGAATTGTTTCATTTTTAAAGATTTGTAGAGAACTCACCGCTAAGTTCAAAGTTTTGTACATCTCCGTCTCTGCCCGCCACCAGTGTGAGGCGTTCCTCAAACCGTAGGTGTACGCTGTGAAAACGATCGAATGATGAACTAAAAGAAAATAATGTTTGGCAAAGAGAAAATGACAGCTCTGTGGTCTACATTTCCACCAAATGGCTCGCAACGTATTGGATCGGTAACGATACGAACGGATGCGGCGATTGCCGATCGCGTCAAGCTACTGTGTGCGATTTGGTAAAATAGACTTTAAAGACTATGTACACGGTTTAATATTGTTTAAAGGTGTGAAATCCGTACTGATGGGAAAGGGGAAATAATAATCAATGACGCAAAAAGAATGGTGTTATAAGTTGAATACGTTTATTTATTACGTATATGTCTGACTGCAGATTTCTTGTTTAAAGTGAATCGATAGTGGGGTCAGTGGGGGGTGGCTACTCACTCCTTGTGGTCGGGGGGCGGCGCCTTGGCGAGGTCGGCGGGGGCGCGCGCGGCGGGCTGCGCGGCGGCGGCGTCGCCCTCGCTGCGCAGGCGCGACACGAACGACTCCGTGTCCGTGCCGAGAGACCCCAGCTTCATCGTCGAACGGCCCGACGGACGACCGCTGCAGGAAACGACATAGAACGTTTTCTAATATTGGTCTACTTACTTACTTATGTTAAAATAATGTTTTTAACGATCGTCATGAAGTTTTTTAAGTGAAAACTTCTTTGGGCGCGTTGGGCATTTTCGAACCACAAACAAAAAAATATATTTTTTGAGATGAGAACTCGCGACACTGTTACCGTTACCGACACCTCTATATATAAGTATATATTTTTCACTTCTGTCGGCCCTCCCGGAGTGCCACTATTTTATTTATATCAGATGTTGATAAAATAGATTCGTTACTATATTCATGTGTAACATCTGTCTTCTCGTCTTCTTGCATCTATGGGAGTAAGTTCGTACAAAGGGACGGAAATGTGTAACGCACTCTTTATTGCGCGCGTCCGTAGGATTATCCGCACTGGCAGAAAAACATCGCGCGTAAAAATGTTGTGATTTGATATAAAATGAACGCGATACAGCCTAAGGGTCCGTAAATTTAGATCTAAGGCTGTACAGAATTATTTTTCTAAAACTTTGAATAAAATAAAAGCCCAAAAAAAACGCTGGGTAAGAATAGGGCTCTCACTGTATTACTTCAAAATACCATCTTTACCGTCCGAAAAACATTACATTGCCTAAAAATTAGGCAGTTCGGCCGTAATAAAAACTTTTTGTAATGTTACACGCTGCGCCGATCCCAAATAGTATCGGGGGACGATGACGTAATCTCAGTAATAAATTATTACACTAATAGTTTACTTACACGTCGCGAGCCGGTGTAGTAGGTATCTTCTCAGCAATAGGTTCTGACGCTGCGGACGAGGACATTGACGAACTTCCGAAGCCACTTCCTGTACGTGAAAAAATCTAATCAAGTTTTTATTAAAAACATATATAAACATAAAATTCTAATCATAACTGGGATGTAAGTGTAATTGGTTTTTAAAAATATATATAATACATAAATCAATGTTTTTTGTGTATCGTATCATTTACACACCTTAATTTGTTTAAGCAACATTTATTTATTGAAACTTCCTGCAAATATATTGCATAAATTAAAATATGCAAATATTCCTTTACTTCTATTGCCTTCCCCACCTGCTCTACTTTCTTTTTCAACATTCTCCTAATTTGCAAACCACCAAATCAAAGTATTAAATAAAATCCTTTTAAAATTATTTCAAATTGTCTTTTTCATCAACAGCCTTTAATAGTCGACTGCTGGATATGGGCCTCTCCTTAGAAAGAAGGTTTTGGTTTTTTTGGTTACTATACCACACTTGCCAGACGGGTTGGTACAGGGTTTGTTTCAAGTTTGTCGCACCGCGCGATCAGTGTGACCCCAGGGGTCACGATCGAGAACCTCCAGCATCTCCTTTACTTTCACTTCTAGAGTTTTCCGCGCCTTTCGGTACTCCTCATGAAGCCTATCTTCCTCACCGTCATCGCGGTGACGCCGCCGATTGCGGGTGTAGGACCTCCGGCCACGAGTACAGGCCGCGCGTGTCCGACATTTCCTGGGACCACCAATATACCTCTTTCCTAGGAAGCGACGAATTTTGCAACAGCCCACCGCGGAAAACGTAGAGGACGCCGCGCCACGTGATCCCTACTGATGTCCTGAGTACGGGAGGACTCAAATCGGATATATAGATGATCCGAGAGCGTCTCAACCTCTTCCAGGATACGCCAGTTCCTTACTCGTGCGGCACACCACCCTGGTGGGGTGACGGCCCAAGGGGGTTTAAAAAAAAAGGGTTTGTTTCAAGTTTACCTTCTCTTTGCAGTGCTGTTGACCTGCGTAGTTTACTCCCTTAGTCGTCTCTTAGGACATCCACGGGATAAATAGGGGTGGTGACACTCCATATTCTTAATTTATCACCACATTTTCTTTTACCTATCTTTATTTCTTAAAAGTGCCTATACCTTCGGGGATAGAGGCTTGTAAGTGTAAATGTATTATTATAGTGTACTTAGTGTGTACAAGTACCGTAGGTGGGCTGTCCGCGCGGCGGCAGGCCCCGCTTGGCGGCCTCCAGCCTCTCGCGCTGCAGCTCCTTGGCGCGCTCGCGCATGCGGTTCGCCGCCTCGCGCTCCTGGGTCTGCGGGAGGGGGAAGAGTTAGAGGATATGTATAACGATATCAGGCAAAGAAAGTAGGGAGTCGCCACGTACCTGTCTCACAGCTTGGTAGATCTTCTCTTCGTGGGAATCCATCTCAACAAATGAGCGTACCTGTGAATTGCAATTGGTAAATGAATAACACTATATCGGACCAAGGAATACTTTGAGAACTGAACGAGGGGGAAACACAAAGACTGCCTATGGAAAGAAATTGTATTTTACCATTTGTCTAGGTCTAGACTTCCCTAAAATTCTGACATAGAAAACATAGGAGCATTAAGTAAAGAAAAACTTTAGTTTTATTTTTATTTAAGGGAATACTGTTTTGGTGTTGTAAAAATTGTGTGAAAACAATAAAGATTTCTAAAACCTCTTAAAAATGTCTCTTTCCTATAAATATCCCTTTGGGCAAACATTCTAGTAGTCTTTTTTTTCGTCGTTTCCTTAGAGAATATCACTGCTGAGCCATATAATTATACACATAGATCAACTTCTGTCAATAAAATTTGATAGGTTGACCACCACAACACACAAGTCACAGGATCAGATGGGAGGAGGGTCTAATAGTAGCGCTCACTTTTTAACTGCTTTCTTCGCATCACTTTCAATACTTCAGTTTACAAGTAAATAAACATGAATACATAAGAATTACTCACCTGCGCTAAATTCACGCTTTCCCTATATCCCAGAGCCACTATCTCATCAAAAGCGAATAGAAGGTTAAAGGCCTGGTTCAAAACCTCAGCCTCAGTTAGGGGGGCACAGTATTCTGGCACCTGTTGACAGTAAAAAGTTACATAATAATAATGTCGGTCATGACCAGACAAGTTTGATATAAAAAAACCTTAAAATTCAATGTTTATAGAAGTTCCCTTTTATGGTTATCTTGATCAAGCACTAAATTTTATCATTAATTCAATTTATGTGGACTAAAATGTAGTAACCACCAAAAATGTGTAATAAAAAGTTTGTTTTCAAAAAAATAAATACATATTTTTTTTAATAGGTCTGCATAAATAATTTTATTAAAGCTTGTTTATTACACCACTTGTGCACAACATGGTCTAAATAACAGACAGAAAGACACATGCGGACTCTGTGAAGCAAATGTATGCTAGATACTAAATTTGTTTATATAATAACTCACAACTCTACTGAAGAGGCGCAGAGTCTCAAGATCTTCAAGGATGTTGCTAGCCTTTGTGGTGATGAGGAGCATGTACAACTTGTCCAGAGGCTGGTACACATATCTGTAACAAAAATAGAGTAAAAGATATATAAATACTGTGTAAGAATAGAGTAAAAGATGTACAAATCTTGGCTACACTAGTCTTGGGCCACAAAAGCTAAGATAAGAAGAAGGATAGCTATTACTCACCAACAATCTGTGACTGTTGGTGTAAAAGGGTTTATGGCACATGAATACTATCATTACAAGGTCTCTGTGTTCATTTAAAAAACACCTTCACAAAAAAGCCTGCTATAAAAATGTCAGGCAAACTTTTACAGAGAGTTTGATTAATGATTATTAGTTATTACAGTAAAAGCTTAATATAACAAAGTTGAATTGGATTACAAATGATTAGTTATATTAAGTAATTTGGCTATAATTATGGTGGAATTTCTTATAACAGGGTAAGAAAACTTGTTCATTAATATTATGAACTCTTCTACACACCTGTAATAGTAAATAATTTCAACTAAGGAAGTAAAATAAGGTTCTTTTATTACTACAATAATTAGGGAACACCTTTTTCATTCCTCAAACATGGCAATTTAATATTGTCCAACATCAATGTATTACATTACTTATTCTTATAGAGTAACTTGTTTCTTGCTATACATTTAAAGTGTTTAAACCTGTTGATTATGATTGTACCTTTGTCAGGTATTGACAGGATAATTTATCTGAATGTTGTAGGTTGACACAAATGCTTAAGACAAGGTAATTCCTCATACTTTTTAATTTGATTCTAAAATGTTTCTATGGAGTATTAGTTAAATTCGAGAACATTGTATTACACAGATAGTTAAGTAGTAAACAACTAATAAATCCAATATTACTTATTACTTTATATATTATTATTAATACCTGACAGATTCTGTTTCCACAAAAGTATGCTGACGTCCACCGGTCATAAGCTTGGGGAATGCAGCAAGAAGGCCCTCTATACGTGCCTTCGTCATCTCCACAAATTGACGGGATACTAAAGCTGTAATAGATATTATGGTAAAATATGTACATTATTACTTCTCCATAAGGTTAGTTAGAAAGTTTAAGAAATAAACTACCTTTCCCTGACTTTGTACATACTGTCGCCGCTATCAGCACCTGAAATAATTTAAAAACACTGTTGAAAACTTTAAATAAGCCGCACTTGAATTACATTTTATTTTGCGTTAAGACATTTTTAGAGAAAAGGATGTACTGTAAGCTATATTTCAGGTTTATTTATATTGTTTATACAATTACCATATTGAATAGCCTTTTATTTAAACCACTTTTATAAAAATTATAATCTGCTATATTAATGTTGACAGCTCAGCCTGAGATGACGTGTGTGAGTTTTTTCTTAAATTGAGTTGATATCGGGTCCGACTAAAAAGTTTAAGTCGATTTAATCGCCTTAGCATTCCAATTAGAAAACCATGTTAGATTCTCTGGATCTGCGAAATATAATATCTACTCATATCTACTGACTCTAAACATTTTAATTAGATCAGCTCTCTTAATTCTGATACGTACGTTAAAATTTTAGTAATATTCCATGTAGTAGCCAAATGGTTGATTTGGTAAAAAAAGGAATTAAATAATAAAAATTAATTTGTGAAATAATTTTACTTTACATAAAACTGCATCTAGTCAGAAATCTTGTATGTAACTAAACAAGTGTACCTTATATTACCGATATTACAACATGACGTGATAAAAACAAAAAAATTGGAAAGAAGTATTAATTGTTCTAGAATTATTCCACTGACAAGGGCAGAACGAAAATCAAAATGAAGCATTGTAAATTGAATTAAGTATACATAAAACCGATAAAGTTATTAATTTAAATATTTTTACCGTAGAATTACAAGATAAAATCTTTCGCACTACGCCAACTATGTCTCAAGTTAAATGTCAAATATGTCAAAAGTGAGGTAAGCACATTGGGGTTATTGGACGTTTATCCGCAAATTTAACATTTATATCGTATCTATTCAACATAATTGAGATTTTTAGATACAGTGTTCACATACTTTGTACGAACGATGGAGCTGTTCATTTGATTTTGTGCTTAAATTCTATGGAATTCACTTGCATACGACAGAAGCCAAATAACAGTAGTAAGTGGAGATTTTACTCATTTTGTGTTGATACCTATTTAGTTGTAGAGTTACGGATCACACGGTGTCCGGTTTGCGTATGTTGTATACGAGTGTTACAGTCATTATTTTCGCCCATAGTCAATCATTTCATTTGCATACAATGATATTTTCTTTGTGCCTGATAATATCTTCATGCAATATTATTCACTGTTGTTAATACGTGATCATGCTGACGTTCAGGTGGACATGTTTATATCAGTGTCTTTTATAAGTTTGTTCTTAAAAAGTTGTGTTTTAAATGTTTTGGTGCCATGGAAGAAACATATCTCCTAGATAGTGATGATGAGGTATTTATATTTACCATTTATATTTATTTAGAGTTCATTGTAACATAGTCAAAGTTGGTATTAAGACTAGACAAATTCAATTTGTTATCTACTTACCATTGATTAATTTAAGTTTGTGATATCACAAATTCTCTTAATAAAATAAATAATAACTGATAATTTAAACTGAAGGACTTTATTCACAGTCCACAGTTAAGAAGTATGTGTAGTCATGAAGAGATGTGAAGGGTGCCGTTGTCGTACCGAAGGGGGGTCAGAGGGGAGATCGGACGAGACTGGAGACAGAGACCCCCTCATAGACACCCCTACAGTCTCAGTTCGGGAGGACTCTTACGATAACCCAAATTTAGTAAGATAAATATCATTATGTTAATGTAGTTAGCACTTTTATTTAATGTGCACTGTATGTATTCTGTGCACTTATTTTGTTGTTTCTGTGCAAAAGTTCGTGTATTTTTTTTTTTATTGTCTATGTCAGAGCAACATGTTATTTATTACTATTATGACAGCAGCATATTCAATTATAAATATTTATGGATGCACATGATTTATAATGATAACAGGATATTATTTTTAATCATAAAAGTGCACTCTAATTAATTACTAAAATTATATATTGAAACAAATGGTAGGATTTTTTTAAACAATTATAGTGATAACTATATCTTAATGTTTTATGTGTCATTATGTGCTTATACAAAGTAGTACTTCAGATACTGGCTCGAATGACACACCATTTTGTAAGTAATATTGTTTTTGTCAAGTCTTTGTGATGTAGACTGTCTACAAGACTCAAGTAAATAAAACCTTAGTCGAACACTGCCTCTTTAAGATACCGGCCATGCCTAGTTTAAGAGACAGGTATCTCTACCTTCCTTTGAGACCTATATATCTAATTTAGATTATCATTTAATCTTATGCCAGAGATATTAAACATCATAAGCATATTTTAACTAAAAAAAAATAAGGTAAACATATACGGCAAAAAGTTTTTGAACTGTGATGAAATATTATTTTCCCCTCAATAAGTTATATACTATAATTTAAAGTTATTTGTGTGTTACCCAAATCTTGTGATCACATTCTTTTTAAGAAAATCATTTTTTTCAAGGTAATAAAAAAGTTTTACTTTATGTTAAGTAATTTGAAAACTATTCTACTTAGATTAACAAGTGAAAAACTAACTGTTGCCAAATTTTCAAAACACAAAAATTGTTACCAACATTATTATACATTATTATTATTATATATAACTAATATATTTTCTGGAGCTTTAATGTACTTAACCCAATATCTCTTACAATCAAAATATGTACTTTAATTCAAGCATATCTTCAACATTCACCTCTTCTTTTTCAACTTAAGTCTGATAAGAAAATTTTTGTTTTTTAAAAGACAACTCTCAGTGTCGTCCGAATATTCGGCAACTATTCGGTATTCGGCCGATTATTGCGAACTATTCTGCTGAACACCGAATAGCAAATGATAACACAAACAAACGGTGATATTAGGGATAATCCTATTAAAAGTAATACAATTTAATGTAACAATACTAACAATCAACAATAAATAAAGTGTTTTGTGACACTTGTGACTTTACTTTAATAGACAAGTACTTTAGTGACAGGTTTGTCATCCGCGAAAGGTATTAAGTTGCCGAATATTCGGCACTTCGGCCATGAGCCTCGCCGAATATTCTTTATTCAGTCAAATCCCTATTTGTGGTTACTAGCTTGGATGCTGGCTGTATGAGAATCGCTATTAGACTAAACATCGATGTCGGCATCCGATCATGATACGATAAATATCGAAAAGAAAACATACAAGTCAAGTAACAAGAGAGAACTTTTGAATACGAAAAAAAATTAAGTTTCCTATAAGATAAGCAACTGATTGATCAATTCATGTCTCTGCACTAGTAGGATTGACGTATGGATACGACACGACTCCTGCCTCTCAAGGTACTGCAATATCAGGCCCGTTTCCGCTCCCTCGCCTTATCCGTTTTCGTTAGCAAAATTTACCTTTTTCCTTTATCCCTTCTTCAAAAAGTTAGATTTCCAAGCAGTATTATCGTTAAGCAGGCGGCTGGCCGTAAAAAAACCAATGCTACACATTGCGTTGCAAATGAAATTAGGAAGGAATCGGGAAGAGCAGGAACACAATCATGCAAAGTGAAAACGAACAATCTCATTATTTCTGTCCATTAAAAAAGCTGACTAAGCTTTTGAAAAAAATATCCTTTCTATAACTCCGAAGTCGCTGTTCAGCATAAACATATAACAACTTCTTTATTCAACTTTGGTTTAGTTAATCCAGTAATTAGAAATAAAAAGAAAGGAATTTTTAACGCAGCTACTCGAAAACATTGTTCTCACCAAGAAGTTTATTAGTGACAATTTCATGGCCTATGTGATTAAATTCACACCATCTGCTAAAAATCGATGTGTAACTAACATCGATGAATATCGATCTTTCTAGCCATTAGTGTTAAAATAATAGTGTCAATAGACACTTGTCAGTTTATATCATGAAGCGTAGTCGGAAATTATAATTTTCATAAGTGATTAGTCTAAATTTCATCTGTTGCCACAACGGATATACGATATCAGTTACTCAATAAATTGATCGAAAATTGCATTCTTAACGATTAAGTAGTGGTACCCACACTGCTGAAATCCTATTTCAAAAATACTGGTATTAATTATTTCTTAAATTAAACCAACATCAATACAATTAACATAACTGGTACGGCTTTTTATCTAATTTTGAAGCCCAAACCTTAAAGAAACACTTGTTAATAGTGAGTACTTAAGAACTGACGTAGACAGCCCTGTAGATAAAAGGCGTATGGGAAGATGACACTTGTCGCCCGCCCAAAACGTTCTGCATGATTGCCATCTCTACTCGACGCCCGAGTTTTATTTGTGGTAGATTAAATTATCAAGATACGTAAAGTTGCGCTTCAATGGTCCGTGCTAGCGTTATCGGGCATTAATAACACACGAGCATTCGTTCAGTATTTTGAAGGTGGCAATGATTGTTGTAATCAACTATTTTGCATCAAAGTATGTAGAGTACATTTTTTACCTCTCTTCAGAAAGGTAAATGGCCCTACTTATCAGAATCAGAATCATTTATTTGTATTTAATTTATTATCATCCTAAACAATACCAAGCTTGTGTAGTATTTATGATTTTGTAGGACAAGTAACCCAAATTTAAAAATAATCGACTAAATGCCATATAATCATCATCAACAGCCTTTAACAGTCCACTACTGGACATAGGCATTTCCTTAGAAAGGAGGTTTTGGCCTACTATACCACGCTGGCAAGACGGGTTGGTATAGGGTTTTCTCGATGGGGCTCCCAGAAGTCAGTCTGACGCTGGTCTCTGGGAGCCGAAGAGCATCGGATCGTATTCGTTCCGGATCCGCCGTCTCCTCGGATGGCGCGGAGGCCATGGAGGCGGAGCGAAGCGACAGCCGAAAACGCGGACGCTCAGGGGACGTGGAAACCGACACGTCCGGCGAAATGATGCCACCAAAGGTGGCAAGCAGTCGCCGAGGGAGGGCGCGTAAACCGGCCTCGGTCTCGACCCCGTCAGGCTCCGCGTTCTCAAACGCGGAGTCCTACAGGAGCGTGCGAGTGGACGGCGAGGCCGTAGCGGAGGAGGAGATCGCGGATCTCCTGCTCAAGGTTCGGGAGCCGGTGGGGGGAAATGCCCCCCAGGCTCCCGTGTCCGTGCAGGAGAGGGCGAAAGCGGCGGTGGCCGTCATCGACAAGGTGGCCACCAAATCCGTGAACCTTAAG